ACGCCATCGCCGGTGACTCACGGCAGCCCAGCTCCAGGTTGAGCTGTTGTTCAGCATCTTAGCTGTAGAGGGCAGTGTCACTAGCCCTCATATGTGGGATCCGAACCGGGCCCCTCTGGCGTCCCAAGCCAGCTCTTAACCAACGCGCCACTCGGCCGGCCCCAATAGTTTTCCTTTCTTAAAAGGCATGTACATTTTTGTGGCACTCTCTGTATTTAATTATAGTTGACATTCAATATTATTCTACATAAGCTTTAGGTGTACGGCACAGTGGTCAGGCATCTACACGATCTATGAAGTGATCCCCCCAATAAGTCCAGTACCCATCTGACACCCTAAATAATCTTTACAACATTATTGATTATATTCCCATGCTATATTTCACATCCCCTTGACTCTTTTGTGACTACCAATTTGTGCTTTCTAATCCCTTCACCTTCTCCTCCATCCCCATCCCATATAGCAACCATCAGTTTTTTCTCTGTATCTCCGAGTCTATTTCTTTTTTGTTTGCTCATTTATTGTTCTTTAGATTCCTCATATAAGTGAGATCATATGGTATTTGTCTTTCTCAGTCTGACTTATTTCACTTAGCATAATATCTTCTAGGTCTATCCATGGTATTACAAATGGTAAGATTTCATTCTTTTTTCATGGTAGAGTAATACTCCATTGTATAAATGTACCACAATTTCTTTATCCAATTGTCTACTGATGGGCATTTTGGTTGTTTCCATATCTTGGCTATTGTGAATAGCGCCGCAGTAAACATAGGGGTGCATATACCTTTTGAATTAGTGTTTTGGATTTCTTTGGAATTGCTGGGTCATAAGGTAGTTCTATTTTTAATTTTTTGAGGGACCTCCATACTGGTTTTCCATAGTGGCTGTACCAATTTGCACGAGTGTTCCCTTTTCTCCATATTCTCTCCAACACTTGTTATTTGTTGACTTATTGATGATAGCTAATCTGACAGGAGTGAGGTGGTATCTCATTGTGCTTTTTATTTGCATTTCTCTGATGATTAGTGGCATTGAGCATCTTTTCATATATATGTCCTCCATGGAGAAATTATTATGTTTTCTGCCTATTTTTTAATTGGGTTGTTTGTTTGATCTGAGCTTTTTAAGCCTATTTCCTTGTTTTTAAATTTGAGTTATTGTGAGGATTGATAATCTATATAAACTGCACAGCACAGTGTCTGCTGATAACCACTGAATGATAACTATTATTAATTAAATACTAACAGTGGCTTATATTAATAAATGACTTACTAATAATGAAATGAAGTATTGTATGAGAAAGTGCTGTAAAGTGATATTAAATGTAAGGTTTTGCCATTATTGTTGCTATTATTATTACAGGAGATAGAATAAGAGCCACAAATAAATTGATATTAATACTAGTATTAGAACTATAAATTAAACAGTGAGTCAACAAAGGAATTCCACAGGTATTCCAATGTTTGGGTGTGTTATTAGTAATGTATATTATTACGCAGTACACATTATTAGCATACTGACTAAAACCTGACTACAAGTCCCATCATCCTGTATGGCTTCTCAAACACTGAGAAAAACAAATCACTGGACCCGGATGAAGGCGGAAACCACATTTCCCAGAGTGCCTCACTTCAACATCTCCACTATATATAGTTCATCCGGGCTCTTCGAGATGCTGTTTGGCGACTCGTCGCCATTCCCGGAGCAGCTCGGCCTCGGCCCAGAGGCGAGAGTTGGTCGCTGTGTCGGAGACACCCGTCCCCGACACCAAGAGAGCCAGCCCTCTCCCCTGCCCCGCGGCGGGAGAGCGTGTCCGGCCGGCCGGCGGGGCTCGCGCACCTTCCCTCGCGTCCCCTTTCCCCGCAGCCTCCGCCCCGCCAGGCCCGGCCCGGACCTCCGAGCCCCGGCCTACTCCTTCTCAGTCACCGCCGCCACCGGGCTCGACAGCCCCACCCGCCGCTTCTCTTTCCAGTTTGAGAAGCCGAGTAAGGAAACAGGGAAAAAATGTCGCCATGAAGGCCGAGAACCGCTGCCGCCGCCGACCCCCGCCGGCCCCGAACGCCATGAGCCTGGGTCCTTGCAGCGCCCGCTCCGCTCCGACCGCCGCCGCCGCCGAGGCCCCCGTTGATGCCGCAGAGCTCCCCCAACGCCGCCGCCACCGCCTCCGACATGGACAAGAACAGCGGCTCCAACAGCTCCTCCGCCTCTTCGGGCAGCAGCAAAGGGCAACAGCCGCCCCGCTCCGCCTCGGCGGGGCCTGCCGGCGAGTCTAAACCCAAGAGCGGTAAGGGCGGGCTCCTGTGGTGGTGGAAGGTGGGGTGGGGGGGCGACTGCCCCTCAGGCTGGGGCGGATCCTTGCTCTGGTGTCTGCTGGCTCAGTCACACCCCGGGACAAGCTTCGCGTTCTACTATGGCTCCTACTTTTCTGCCCTTTTCCATGGCTCCCATTACCACTTAATGAGCCCTGTACCGCGTGGTTTACGTGAATCCTTGCATTAATAATCGAAACAGCTTGTGAAGTAGATGCTATTCTTATTCCCGTCTTGCGGATGAGGAAACAGGTTCAGAGAGGTAAGGTTGTCCGCCTAGTACGTGCCTCTCAGGAGGCCTTAAGACCTGGTTTGCCTGACTCATCAGTCCAGCTCCTAAAACCACTAAGTTTTTCTACCCTTTAATGTTGAATTAGCATTGGATAGTGTTCAAGTTTAAACAGGGCAGGGTGGGGCAAGGACTTCTCAAACTCAAAGCTCCTATTTAATAACCTGGCCCCAGAGCCATCATCCCTCTGTTGAAGAGGACTTGTCCTTGAATGGCTTTGTTTGGTATGGAGCCATGTTGAAGAGCACAGGCTCTGGATTCAGTCTTTAGGTTTGCCAGACCTTGAGTGAGTGTCTGAATTTCCTTACCTGTAAAGGTGGAGAGGATGAGAATTAAATAAATTAATTTAGAAAGCAAATGAACCCGAGGGCTTAGGAGAGTACCTGACACCTATTATGCACCAAATAGACATCATGCCTATTTCCCTGTTAGGCTCCAGTAGTGTCCTTTTACAGGGAAGAGTTTGTCATTTTTGTAGTCATGCTTCTCAATATTAAAGTATGACCATCATGATGATAATAGCTACCATTTATTGAGGGTTTACCATGTGCCAGATACTGGGCTCGGCTTTATCCTCTGTTACGGATACTCCAGTTACTAACCTGTCCAGCAAGGTGGAATTGTTTATCTAAAGAAGGAAAAAGTTGAGAGGCCAGGAGTTTAGGAATTGGCAGAGCTTGGAGTTGTAATCTCTTGTAATCTCTGCTCTTTTGTGATTATGTTAACAGTGGTAAGAAGATGGTTTCTGTGGGAGTGGGGAAGTGTGTCAGAGAGGGGAGCATTTGGAGTCCCCACATGTGGAGGTCCAGTTGTTTAAAACTTTTTGAGGTTAAAAAACCTGTAAGGCTGACTTAGAAACAAAAAGAAAAACTATAAGGCTGACTTGAGTTCAGAGTTTATCTGCTGGATATAGCAAACTTGTTTACCTCGTGTACCAAGTACTGGTAGAGATTGTTTATGGAACTCAGGTGGAGACCAGTTGTCTCGATAATAAATGAATGCTTTAAATGTCTAGGCAGGGATTAGTGTGGATTCTTCAGGCCACGTCAGGCAGTGTTATGTAGACTAATTTTGGGGTTTTGTACATGTGTAGCTTTATCACAGATCCTTCTAGAGATAGAGGGTAGCCGGTCCTGACCAGTGCTGGAACTGGTTTAGAGTGGTTAGACTATTTCTCAGTGTAGTTAATAAATAACTTTACTTTTGTACACTATTCTCAGATGTAAAGTTAAAGATTTTGGTTTTCCGGCTATCCAAACTTTCAACTAATTTTTTGGGGCTCCTTTTTAAACCACTAACATAGAGTCATGAGTCAGCTGCAATAAATGTCTTTAAGTGTATTCTTTAGTGAGGCAGTAATTGAAAGTTTTCAATAACCGAAACAAAATAAAACAATAAAGGGCCAGCTGAGTGGCTCAGTTGGTTAAGAGCTTGCTCAAGAGTGTGAGCTCTGAGCAACAGCGGTTCGAGTCCTGGCCCGAGCTGAGCAGCCGCTGAGCTGCCAACAGGTGGCAGGATGGCTCAGCTAAAAAAAATAAAATAAAATAAAACAATAATAAAGCTGAGGTATTTAAGACATTTTACTAATATTGTCCCTCACTTTAAATATGTTGATTAATGGAACTAACTGATTACCCAACAGGATGATATAGAATTCTGTTGTATTTTGACCAAAACAAATATTTGTCAGTGTTAATGTTTCAAACAGACTTGTACAGAAGAATTAATTGTTGAGTTCATTCTGACTAAATTGATTTCTGTTGGTTTTTTAATTTTTTTAAACAGTTAAACACTTCTAAAGCGTTCTTAAAACATTTGTTCACCTTAATTGAAAGCTTCTGAGGAAGAAAATAAAAACTCATGTAAAGGACTTTTTGCTAGGTTTTATGAAATACACAAGTGTGCCCTCTGGTATCATTAGTTATTGTTTAATGTTATCTGTTAGAAAGCTTGACCATGTTTGCCATTGCCAGTGCCTGCTTTTCTGTCTACTGCTATGTATTTACCTTTAGCAAAAGGGAAGGTTTGTAGCTAAATACAGAGTTCTTCATCCATAATCCACTATTTGCATTAAGGAACAAATTCAAAGGTAAAGTAGGAAGTGATTAAACAATGGCTTAGGAAACTCTGGATATTGGCTAATTTTTAAGGTTGAAATGAAGGTTAATTACAGATCAGTGCTGCCACAACAGATGTCATTCAGGATCTCTTATCTTATACAGTGACTTCTAGATGGTTGCTCTAACGAAAGGGTAGACTCAAACTCAACATAATTCCATAAAAAGGTTTCTGAAATATTTCAAAATCCGACTCAACACTGGATGTATTTGATTCTGCTGGAAATTGTTGAAAGAACCTCTTAAGTTTCAGAGTACTGAGTTGAAGGAAGAATACGAAGGGTAAAGTGAAAAGGCATAACTTGCCTTTCTCTTGTCAAAGTTAACAAGAGTTCTGCAATTTTTAAATATTTAATTCACTTATCCCATTTCCTTTCCCTACCTCATGTGAGGAAAGAACCTCTGTAATTTCTGTTCTCTAAACCATGTGTCTAATAAATGGTTATTTGCTTCCTAGCTACATGATTAATATACTTCAGTCTTGGATCCTGTGGCTGGCTTAAGTTTGCCCTTCGTGCAGGTAAATTTGGCTTCCGGGGTTTATTTGATCTTGCCGGCCACAGTGGCATGCCACAATTTCTTTTGCCTTGGCTAATTGCTTCAAACATTCACATACATTCCTTTTCTTGGATGTACAGCTTTGTTTCTGTAGGGTTAAGATGCACTTCTAAGACTGTTCTACAGTGAATATCCCAGGAATATAGCCCGGAGGGGAGAGGTGGGATAGGGTTTGGGGAAAGTCTAGAAAGAGCAAAAAAAGTAGAGACAAGAGAGAGGCTAGGCAGTTTATGGGTAAACAATGGACCCTGGCCCAGAACCAGACTCTTGCCTCATTCCCTTGGGTGGGGAATGGTATTGCCATGGAGGTTAAGAGAAGGTCAGGTATTATGAAGCAGTTATTTTGAGGTTGGTGATGTGAAGCACTGTCCTAATACTCTTCCTCTTTATTCCGGTACCAGAAGCCAGGTTGCTGGTGGTAATCTGCCTTGAAGAATGCCTCTGAGCTGGAGGTTTTAATAGCTTTGAAAATTGAGGTGACTTGAAGCCTTCAGTAAGAACCACGTAGAGAAATTAAAAGAATCCCAGTCTTGTTGGCTGGAGTCCCTGGCTTGTATGGCTTTGTTGGAAGTCTAGTGGGTGCCTTGACCAAAATGTGCCAACCACTGTGGTAGGCATTTTACAGAAGTTGTCTCTTAATTCTCATGACCCTGTGAAGAGGGAGGGTAGAGGATTAGCCCTATTTTACAGACAAGAAAATTGAGGTTAGAGGGGTTAGAATGATTTATCCAAGTGAATTCTTAAGAAGCCTTAGGTAATATTTATAAATACATTTTGTAGAAATTCACTTATGCAGGTAACTTACTGGCACATGCATCATTCCTGATACCACCTCTCTCTTCCTTTCATTCAGAATTACTAATTTCAGCTGGATTCAATTTGTTGTCAGTTGATTCTGTAGTAAGGCCATATAATGCCCCTCCGGAGGTGCTTGTCAACCACTCTGGACGATGGGTAAGCAACTTGCTTGTGATTACAGCATGAATCAGCAGCAGAAACTTCCTGGCTGGTCTTCTGACCTCTAGGCTGTGCCACCTGTCAGCACTAGAGCTAGAAATGTTGATACCAAATTATTTAACTGAAAAATGCATGGCCTTTCCTTTGGTAATGGGGGCAAGAGACTGAGGTATGCTATTTGGTAGAGACCTTTCTACTAGGGGAATGTGACATAACAGACACTGGATTAAGTTTTCAAGTCTCTTGTGGATTCTTGGATCCTGCATTCTGGATTTGAGCCATTTAACTAATGGTCTTGTCCCTTTTGGAATGTGTCTTGACAGTAGTTCTTGGCAGTTAGTTGTTTTCAGCTCTGGCTGTGCATTAGAATCTCCAGAGGACCTTTTTAAAAAAATAGGGATGTGTGGGGCCTTTCCCTAGTGATTCTTTCTGATTCTTTAGATTTGGGTTGGGCCCTGACATCCATAGCTTTAAAAGTCTCTGCGAGTGATTCTCTTATGCAACCAGAATTGAGAACCACCACTTTGAAATTTAAAACTTTCAATAGAGACTACGTTTCTCCCAAAAACTTAACTTGACTTTTTTAGTTTAAAGCAGATCTTCTCATTGGTATCTACTATCAAAGAAAGGAGGACAAATTCTACCCCTAAGTTATTTACATGTATGTCCTGGCAAGTTGTTTGTAGAACATTTCAAAAACAGTACTGTGAATTTTATCCCTGGGTCCCAGGCCTGACTGTACCTTCAGTCTTTAGCTGCCTGTTGCCTGGGTCTAGAGATAAGAGCCAACCTTGCACTTTAGATGTCTGACTTTATACCTTTAGGTAAGTGGAAGACAAGATGAGGGAGTTGCTTTTAGCAACTGAAATCATAAATCCATATGTGGTCAGTTGTTGTAATCTGTTTTAGAAATAGTTCTCTGTCCATCAGAGAGCATTATGAAACTGTTTCCTTTTCCGTGTGGCAATAAGTGACTACATGAAAAACCATCCTGCTGAGTGCCAACTTTCATTTTTTTTTTTTAAAGATTTTATTGGGGAATTGGGGAGAGGGGAACAGACAGGTAGACAAATTGCTGTTTTGTTCTTTAGTCTAGTTATGGAGGACGTCACTTCATTGGCCCATGTTGGTATTATCATTGCGCTCTTCTCGGGTGAGGTAGTCGGTCGCTGGTCATTGGTTGGCCGCTCAAAGCGGCTCCTGGCAGCTCAAAACGGCTGCCGGCCACTCACGTAGCTCACGGCAGCCCACTGCAGCCCGCTGCAGCCCCGCTGCAGCCTCACAGCAGCCCAGCTCCAGGTCGAGCTGTTGTTCATCATCTTAGCTGTAGAGGGTGAGGGTCACTGGCCCTCAATGTGGTATCCGAACCGTGGCCCTGCTGCTCAGAGCTGGTGCTCCCAAGCGAGCTCTTAACCAGCTGAGCCACCTGGCCGGCCCACAACTTACTTTCTTAAGCCCTTGAAGTATAGAGTCTGGCTTTACCTAAATCTCTGCAAACTATTAGGTGTTTGTTTTGAAAGCAACAGGGTCAGGCGGACCATTGTAAACTGTCTTGGGTAATGAGGTTTGAGGAATACATGTTTTCTGTATATGCCTCTATTCATAAGACCTCATTTGTTCTCATGGTAAATTTAGCTGGGTCCTGTATCCTCTGAATTTTCTTTGTATTTGAAATCTGATTATAAATGAATTCCATGGGTTGAGGGCAAAGCCTCACTTTCTAATTGTTACACTGCCATATTGGACAGTAACTTGCTAACTGAAGTAGTAGGTAAAAGTATTTCATAAATTCTAACTTCAGATTCAACTCTAGCCACTTTTCCTAACTGGGATTTAAAGGTAACTGGTAGGGCGTTAACCTAGCTTGGCAGTGTTTCTGTGACCATCTGTTTTCTGTTTGCATTGCTGCCGTCTCACATGACTATTAGCTTGTCTCCCAGGTCATAATGTGGTCAGGTTTGGACAGGATGGCATACCTCTCATTTATACCATGTTGTTGACAAACTTTGTGCTGTCAAAATTTAGACTGGTTTATCAGCTAATGTTTCCTTTTCTCTGAAGATAGACTTCACCTTGGGTTTATTTAGTCTGCTGTAAAATAAGCTAGTCATCCTACTTGTCTAGAAATAATTTTTTCTAGGTATTGATATTTTTAAAAATTACCGAAATTAAAAGTATACTGAAATCTAATATTAGAAGGTGAGGCTTGAACACAGGAATCCCATAAAAGCTCATCTGGGTGATGCCAATGAACTACCGTATTTCCCCATGTACAAGATGCACCCTTTTTCGAAAATTTTGGGGTCTAAAAACTGGGTGCATCTTATACAGTGGTTGTAGATTTTTTTACTACTTGCATTTCCCGCTGAGGACGAGGCACTATATGAAGACAGTGATTCGTCGTCAGACACAGATGAGGACAAGCTAATGGTTGGGAGTTTTGACAGTGATGAGTTGTATGAATTTTATGATAAATAAAAGTTGAGTTCAATAACTTTATGAATACATTTTTTTCAAATTTCGGGCCCCAAAATTAAGGTGCGTCTTATACATGGAAGCGTCTTATATATGGGGGAATACGGTAGTAAAAGTGGCTAGCTCCATTTCCCATAGGTGACTGTCATTAACAGCCTGCTGTGTTGCCTTTCCAGACATGTTTCTGTTAATTACATATTTTAAACATAAACAGGATTAAACTATATTTTGGGGAAAAAACTTTGTAGTTCCTGAGGCTCGTGATGAAATTCTCTTGACTTTGAAAACCTCCACTTCCTTAAAGTTTGAGGGTTAGCCTAATGAATTTCTTCATTAAACATCCTTCAACTTCCATTTTCTCTTAAATTTTTGCTTTTAAAGCCATTAAATTCGTATGCAAGACTTGATTTGGTCAGATTTCCATGTTGAAATAAGACAACATGGAGTGAGCAAAAGGACAAGAATGATACATGAGTCTTTTTTTGTCTAAAGATAGGGGACTTCTTTCACCTTTAGCTCTTTAGCTGTGTATGGTTCTCAGGTTTTATTTTGCCTTTTTTTTTTTTTTTAAAAGATGGCAAACCTTTGCACAGGTTAAGTATGACTGGTCAGGATTCTTTGTTCGATTTGGGACAAAATAATCTGCATTTCAGTTCCCCAGCAAAAAAAATGGGGCAGAGACTACAGACAAGCTGTTTATACGAAATACAAATGGCCAGCGGACTGAAAAAGTGCTTGTTGCCAGTCATCAGAGAAATTCAAATTTAAAACAAATTATTTTGACCCTTCAATTTAGCAAAGTTTATTCAACTCAGTATTATTGAGAATGTAGTGAATTAGACATTCTGTCTTATGGTGTCGTTGCAATGTAAATAAATTAGTATAATGGTTCTAGAAAGCAACTTGAGACTTTAATGATTATATTTGACCTGCTGATTTCACTTTGAGAATTTGGCATAATCATACAGGCCTCTGTGTAAAGAGGCTCCCAATACTGTTAAACTAGCAAAAAGATTAGATGCCATCTAAATGTAGAGCAATAGGGAATTGGTTATATTATTATGTAAGCATATGGTAGACAATAGTGCAGCCATTAATCATACTTTTGAGGACTATGGATGCATGAAAATGCTTTTGGAGTAATAGGTGGAAGACAGTATATCTTCTATGTCTGTCATTTTATGGAAGATGTGCGGCATGTGGATAAAATGGAGAGTAAAAGGAAAGGAAACACTGTTCATAGATTGGTATTCTCTGAGTACTGGCAAATGTAAATTACTCTTCTGGGTTTCAAAATTGAACATATATTCTTATAATGGGAAGGAAAAAAAGCAAATATTTTTTAAAAGGGTGTAACTCATGCTGATCTAATATGCTTTTAGAGCTCAACTTATTTTGTCAATTTAATACCTTCTCAGTTTGACCTCTAGAACATATGTAAATATTGGTTTGGTTTTATGCCTCTTCAGTATATCTGCTAGGGCCTAGGCCAAGCTGTTGCAGTACAGAATCTAGTTATTTTGTCATAATTTAAGGAAAAAATGTCTTCTATCCTGCCTCCAGATAAAATACTTGATACACACACACACACACACAGAGAGAGAGAGAGAGAGAGAGAGAGAGAGAGAGAGAGAGAGAGAGAGACTATTCCTATCACTTTGTGTGAGTGGACTTTTGTAAGAGCATTGGTTAAGCTTTATAAAACAGAGTCATTGTGAACTGAGAATCTCTTCACAAATCTGTGAACCAAATCTGTGGTTTGGTCTTTATAGTGTTTGTCCTGAGGGAGGGACTCTTCAGGTTTCATCATTAAAAAACAAAACAAAAAAACACGTTACTATGTGATGTCTTGCCCAAAGCACTAATGCTCTGGCCCAAACCCAGAATTCTTGGAGGTCGTGGAAGGGCCCAGACCCGTTTACCCTTGTTTAAACACAGTTTTGTCTTGAAGTGGAGAGCAGTTGGCCAAGTATTGTATCATTTCTCAACTAGTTCTTTTATTTCTTGCTTTCAGATGGAAAGAACTCAAGTGGATCCAAGCGTTACAATCGCAAACGTGAACCTTCCTACCCCAAAAATGAAAATTTTAGCAACCAATCCCGTCGCTCCAATTCACAGAAAAGCAAAACTTTTAACAAGATGCCTCCTCAAAGGGGCGGCGGCAGCAGCAAACTCTTTAGCTCTTCTTTTAATGGTGGAAGACGAGATGAGGTATGGGATCTTACAGATTTTCTTTCTAGAATATAAGCATGAGGTCTGTTTTTTTTTTTTCCAATTTATCAGTAGTTGGGGAGGTGGAAAACAAGAGATGGAAGAATAAACAACCAAAGCAGTCTTGAGTAGTTGAGGATTAACCAGGTTTGGAGCTTTGCCTCCTTTCTTCCTTTGAAGGTTATGAAAATTTTCTTGAAGGATGAAGACATCATAATCCTGGATTGTGAGCAATTACAACAAATTTGGGGTACCTTAATTTGTATAGTCCTTTTATTATCACCCTTGAATTATAGGTACTCTTTGGAATATTTAGATAATAAAATGAGATTAATTAATGATATTGGCCCTGTAGTATCTAGCAAAATATACAATGCTATATATCCTTAGTCACAGGTACTCTTGATTTTGGGAATTTCTTAGATATCCTTCTGTAAGGGCAGAAAGACTTACATAGAAGGCAGTTCACTGCAGTGTTGTTTGTAGTTGCAAAATTTAGGAAACATCCTAAATGCCATCAACAAATAAATAAATAAATTATCCTGCTGTTTGAATGTTCCATACTATGTAACCATTTCAGAAGAGAACCGGTTTAATGGAAGAATTCATTCATTGACCAGAAATTCATTCCTTGTCTACTATGTTCCAAATACCATTTAGGAATTTGGAATTGAACATAAAGTAGAACACTGTCTTTCAGGAGCTTACATTCTAGTTTGGGGAGATAACAAATAAATCATTATGTAATAAATCCAATGGTGAGTGCTTATTAATTTTATAAAAAAGTAGAGAGGTAAAGGGATAGAGAATAACAAGGAGTACAGTTTTAAAAGGCGGCCAAGGAAAGCTTCTCTGATGAGGTGAATTTTGATTAGAATCCTGAGTGAATCAAGAGAGCACACGATGAAATATTGAGGAAGTGTCTTAGCCAGAAGTAATAATAAGTGCAAGGGACCAGAGTTGGTAATGTTTTTGGTGTATGGGAGGTAAAGCAAGTCACTGCCATGGGTGGAGGAGGAGTAGGAAATGAAGCCAAAGAAGGGGAAAGAGGAATCAGATCATGTGGAGCTTTGAGGGCTTTGGCTTTTGTTCAGAGAGGTGGGACGCGCCTGAGTTTAAAAAGAGAAGTAAGGTAATCTGACTTGCAGTTTTAAAGGGGAGAGTGGAATCCGAGAGACTAGTTAGGAGCTATTAAGATATTCCTGGTGAGAGTGATGGAAGCTTTGAAACAGAGATGGTGGTGAGAGGTGGTCAGATTTGCGGGAATATTTGACGGTAGAACCAAGAGGATTTTTTTTTTCTTTTTTTTGGTAGAAGGCAGTGTCACTGGCCCTCACATGTGGGATCCGAACCGGGGCCCTCTGGCGTCCCAAGCCAGTTCCTAACCATCGCGCCACTCGGCCGGCCCCCAAGAGGATTTTTTAATACATTAGATGTGGGATCAGAGCAGAGTAATGAATGATTAACGTTTTTGGCAGGAGCCCAATTCAGATACCATTTGCTGAAATGGGGAAGATTTCTGTCTGCATGCAGTTGGTGTTTGCAGCAGTGGATCTAAGTGAGGTCATTAAGGAAGTGAGTTGCAAAAAATGAATGGATTCAAGGACTGAGCCTGGAGTCACAATGATAGGGAACCAGCACAAAGGGAGGAAAATAATTGAAATCCATTTAGAGAAAGTGATCAGTTTTGTCCTGTGCTGCTTATAGGCTGAGTAAGATTAGGACTGAATGTTGACCATTAGATTTGAGAATGTGAAGGTAGGTTGTTGGCCTTGAGCTGCTTTGGTGGAGTAGTGAGGACAAAAACCTGATCGGCATAGATTTAGGGAGAATGAGAAGAAGAAACAGCAGTTTAGACAATACTTTGCTCTAAAGGGAAGTAGAGAGGTGAGGCAGTAAGCACTTTGAGGGGAATGTGAGGTTGATTGAGATTTTAAGGTTCGAGAAATTCCAGCATATCTTTGCTAATGAGATTGTTCTGGTGAGAGGGGAAATGTGATGCAGAGGAAAGGGGGAGAATTGCTGGAACAGTGTCCTTGAGTTCCTGAGGAATTGGGATCTAGCGCACCAGTGGAGGAGCTGGCTTAGGTGCTTCGCCGGTTCATCCACAGTAACAGGAAAGCAGAGTTCTGGTAGGAGAGCGTAGGAGTTCTTTTCCGATTGTTCTTATTGTCTCAGTGAAGTAGATAAGGTGAGCTGAGGAAGGAGGTTTGGAAGCCAGAGGAATGGAGTGATCTGGGTGAATGAGGGAGTTCATGGAGTACAGAAGTGCAATAGGATTGTAGTATGACTGCCAGGCAGCATAAGGGTTCACTTTAGTGAGACTGGTCAGTGTGGTGTGGTTATGTTCTACAGGCATGTGCTCTGGTGCTGGTGTGGAATAGGCAGAGAGTTGGATTCATCGGGGGAAGGGTTTTGCTAGGTGAGTAAAACTGATGAGATGAGGAGGAGGCAATGGATCATAGTGTCTAAGGCAAATAAGGAAAGAAACTTGGGGGGGTTGTATCACTGGCTTGAGGACCCCAGTGGGGGTGAAGAATTGTTGGAATCAGAACTAGAGGGAACAGGCTGGGAAAAGAGTCAGTTGCTGTTGGATGTAGGTTGCTCAAAATTAAGGTGGTAGAAGAGGTGCAGTTGTTAACCAGTATGGTCTAGACTGTAGAGCAGTACTGTCCAATAGAAGTGCAAGCCATATGTGTAATTTAAAATTGTTTAGTTGCTGCATTAAAGTAAAATTAATTTTAATATTTTTAACCCAATACAGCCAAAACTGCTCTTTCACAATGTGGCACTGGCCACACTTAAAGTACTCGGCAGCCACATCTGGCTGGTGATGGCTGCTGTATTGGACAATATATATGTGGATGGTATGCCCATAGAAATGAGTGGCTAGGTAGAATGGGGGGCAAGCTGATGGGAGGAGAGGAGGTCAAGGGAACTGAGAGGTTAGCATGTTGGAAGGATAATCAGGAATTATGATGGACAGTATCGGAAAGAGGGGCAGTAGGTAAGCTAGGATAACAGGGTGAAGATAGAGGTTGAGAATGTGGGGGATTTTGTTGAGTGAGCACAAGCTCTTAAGTTTGGGGCATTGGGCGTGGAAAACTGGTTAGGGAATAGCAGAGTCATATGGAAATGAAAGTCTTAAGGGATGAGACATGAGATGATGTGGGATTTTTGGGCGTCCTGTGGTTGAGTTACATAAACAATGGGGTGGGGTGTTGTCTTCCAAGATCTATTGTTAATAAGATATAAGGAAGTTTCCTAACTGTATGGTATGTCACTGTATTTAATCATAAAGTTCAGATACTATGACATATACTATGAGTCTGTATGCATACAGTATATGCATAGAATACCTCTGGAATAGAAGGTATCTTTTACTGTTTCCCTTTTTGTACTCTTTAGGTTCTTTATCACCTATGTGCAAGTGCTGCTTACTCATCTCCAAATTTGACTAACCAGCAAAACCTTAAATTTGCAATTTTTTGGCCCAATTATTCCTGCTGTACATTCAAAAGAAATAATTGTAGGTGTCCGAATATTGGTGCATAAAGATCTATCCAAAAGTGTGTTTCTCACAGCATTATTTTGTTACACGGTGGAAACCTATGAATAACCTGTGTCCTACACAAGGGCATTATAATATGCCCATACAATGTAATATATAATGATTGTATATATAATTTAAAGTGACTGTATACTAGTACTTAGTGACTTAGTAAAATGCTTATGACAGTAAATGGGAAAGGGGGATTAGAAAATGCATTAGCTGACTTATAGCAGGTATCTGTACCACTTCAATTTGGGAATATTAAGAGGACTGAAGAGCCCCAAATGCTTTCTTTCATCCTTGTGTGCAGTGGTGTTTCTTACATTGTTTCCTGCCACTTTCTAAACTTTCTGAGTCTGCTGATTGGATTTATTTCTGGGCAGAGCCAGTCTGCCTACATGTTCTAATTCTGTCAGTTTTAATTAACAATGAATAGCAGTGTGTATCTTAGATAGAAGTTTCTGGCAGGATCCTGAAGCTATGGCAGTTAGCAGCTTGCCTGTAAGCCGCTTGCAGAATATAATTCCACAGACTTGCTTTTGCCAGAAACAAACCAGAGAACAAGTAGCTAACGAGTGAAGGTGTAGGAGTTCTATGGGACTGTGGAAAGATTAATCCTATAAGTAAATCTTTGTGCTTCAAGATAGGTAAAGAAGTTCTTTTTGTCCTTTAATGGTTAATTGCCACTTAGGGCAGAGTAAACAGTTGAAGTAATTGTATGTTGAAGCCTCTTTTTCCCCTCTCCACTTCCATCTGGATCTTGGGTAGATTTTTGCATTACTTTTTCCTAAGAAGGTTGTATTCTTTAAGCCTGTATTTTATTTAGTTGATATTTTAAGCCATAGAAGGAGGGGCTGTGCTGTTTCCTGCTGTAAGCCATTGTCATCCTGATCGAAATACTCTGATTCATTCTCATTCTCTCTAGGTAGCAGAGGCTCAACGGGCAGAGTTTAGCCCTGCCCAGTTCTCTGGTCCAAAGAAGATCAACCTGAACCACTTGTTGAATTTCACTTTTGAACCCCGTGGCCAAGCGGGTCACTTTGAAGGCAGTGGACATGGCAGCTGGGGAAAAAGGAACAAGTGGGGACATAAGCCTTTTAACAAGGAACTCTTTTTACAGGCCAAGTGAGTATGGCTACTTTTAGGAAAGTAAAATTGCACCTCTGGGCAGTTGTGCTGAGAAAAACTGGGGGAGAGAGACAGAAAAGGAGTTGATCTGGGTCTTTTTCCTTTTTTTTCTGTTTTCTCTTTTCTTTCTTTTTCTTTTGGCATGTATTGAAAACCCACTTTCCAAGTGAATGTGTTCTTGGTGCTTAAAATAATATAAAGCTTAAATAAATAAATGCTAAATTAAATAATGCTTTAGTATCATGATGAGGTAGTAAAAGTGTTTGCTTTGGAATTAGACAAGATTTGAATCTGGTTTTGTCCTTTGATCTTGGGTAATTTACCCACTTTGAGATTCAGCTTCTCTATAAAGGAGGAGAGATTACTTAAGGGAGAATTGAATGACAATTGGCGTACATTTGCTCAAATACCGATTCCCTTCTTTCTTTTGTGTGGTGTTATAATGTAAGATTTGACCTTGGATCTAGACTGAAGTAACCATTCAGTACTTTATTTGAACTGGTACTCAGATGATTGCGTGGGAACAGCCTTTTCTGCTACCTTGAAAACTGGCTGTGTTCCAGGGTTTCTGGGGGTGAGGGAGCAGACCTGGCTTCCAGCTGGTTGATGAAGCCACAGTCTGGGTTAATTTTAGTTCAGAGGAGGACTGTAGGCAGCTTGGCTGGGCTTGGAAGCAGAAGAAACAGTTCATGGGTTTAGACTCCTACCGCTGAGCCTTTGGATTCCCTCCAGAGCCAGGGTTCACAACTGAGGCTGAAGTCCCAGTTCATTGCTTCACCAACCATGGGTGCTAATGGCTTGCATTTGATTTCTAAGTGAAGAGATGCCGAATTTCTGCTGAGGGCTTGTTGGTGGATTCTTACAGCCTGCCTTTTCCATGTCTTCCTATTGCTAGCTGCCAATTTGTGGTGTCTGAAGACCAAGACTACGCAGTTCATTTCGCTGATCCTGATACCTTAGTCAATTGGGACTTTGTGGAACAAGTGGTGAGTAGCTCAGCTAAGCTTATAAGCTGTTAGTGGGAGAGAGAACTAAAGAAAGGGACTGTGGTGACACAGCAGCTGTTGGCTGGGTTCACTGGTGATATGCTTTTCTGCAAGGCCTTACTGTAGACACTTCTCAGAGATCAGTCCTGGTTACTCCTGCAGTTAGTTCACTTTGTGCTCTCCAATGGCACTGATTTGTAGGACTGGGCAGTTGGAGGGCTCTGATCTGAAGGTATAAAAGTAGTCCCTATCTACTGCCTTCTCTCCCCTGGGAAAACCAGGGAAATACATGACGGGCTCTGGTTATCCTCCTGACTGAGAGTGGGCTCATTACATGGCCATGGCTTCATTGGTGGCCATTCATAGTAAACAGTATCAAATCAGGCCTCATCCTTGTGCCTGATGAATCAGCCACACAGCTGCACGTCTGTCCAAGCCACTGCTACATGTCTTCTATTGAAGTTATGTGCTCTGGGTATCCCTTTGCTGCTTCTAGGTTATATGATATAACATACCTTTCAAAACGATAGGCCTGAAAGCCTGGACTCCCGTTACTGTGAAAATGCATAAAATCATCTGAGTGACACATTGGTTAAGAGAAGGCCTGTGAAACTTGTTTTATATGTATTGGTTTGAAAAAGTGGAGATCCATAAAAAGTGAAAGTCTCATTGACTGCTCTGTTGGAAATTACTGGTACATTACTTCCAGATCCTTTTTAAAGCTTTTCTGTATGTATGTGTACATATAATGTTTTTTTTTTGTAAATAGGATCTTATATTGATTTCTGTCATTTTTTCCCTTTGATATAGAACCCCCAAAATTCCTGTTGTGTCATTGTTTTATTATATTAAACCACTATTACGGTTTCCTTAATGATTTGCTTAAAGTGCTGTCATGCATATACTTGGTATTGTTGAACAATTTTATGAAGATGTGTTGAGTAGAGATGTATAGGGATGAGGATGGGGATGGGAGAGGAGAGGCTTTAACTTTGACAATCCCTAGTCAATTCTGAAAGTAGTGTAACTTGTGGTGCCATTTTGTTTCAGCGCATTTGTAGCCATGAAGTGCCATCTTGCCCAATATGCCTATATCCACCTACTGCAGCCAAGATAACTCGCTGTGGACACATCTTCTGCTGGGCATGCATTCTGCACTATCTTTCACTGAGTGAGAAGACCTGGAGTAAATGCCCCATCTGTTACAGTTCTGTGCATAAGAAAGATCTCAAGAGGTGAGATGGAGAGATTTACTAGATTAGACCCCCAGTCTGCTAAGTCCTTGCCCTGCTATATCTGCATGTCCATGTTACAGTGTTGTTGCCACAGAGTCGCATCAGTATGTTGTTGGTGATACCATTACGATGCAGCTGATGAAGAGGGAGAAAGGGGTGTTGGTGGCCTTGCCCAAATCCAAATGGATGAATGTAGACCATCCTATTCAACTAGGAGGTGAGTTTGGGTTAATTTTAGGGGAAAATAATCCTGGGTACACCCTTTGAGGCTATTAAATATATCTTCCTACTATCAGAAATTTAGTCTTTAGGCATGCAATTTCTAACGTTTCCAAATTAGTCATAGGATTCCAGGAGGTTAGGGTGGAGTTTGCAGAGAGTGGCTTAACTCTTTGAGTTTAAGTTTGGTTCAGTTATATGTATATTTTTTAATTTTTCATTTTACAAGGCTTTGTTGAATAGTATCTGACACGGTGCCCAGTCTTAGGGATTTCAGTCAGCCAGTCTTAGCACATTTCATAAAGAAATTAGTCGAATAGAAGAGACCGACTGGTAGCCCCGCAGTTAGGGTATAGAGTGTGATAATTGCTTATGGTGGGCAAAGTGCAAGGGCTTGTATTCCCTGTAGAGATGAGCATTGGATGAAAGTGGCATTTCAATTTCTGGGCATTTCAGTTTCTCAATAAATGGTATTGAAACAATTGACTGTCCTTATGAAAAAAATAAAATAAAATTAGATCCCTATCTCATAAAAACCAATTCCTGATAGACTGAAGAATTAAATGTAAAAACATCCAAAAGATGTTTAAAATACATCTTTTAAAAGAAAATATAGGACAGTATCTTTATAAATCTTCAGGTAGGGATGGATTTTTGAACCAGGCTGAAACTATGGATGCTGTAAAAGAAAAGATGGGAGGGGTCGGGGAAGGGTGAAGTGGGTAAAGGGGGTCAGCTATATCGTGACAGAAGGAGACTAGACTTCAGGTAGTGAGCACACAATAGAGTATATAGATGTCGAATTATATAATGTTGTACACCTGAAATTTATATGATGTTATTAACCAATGTGACCCCAATAAAGTTAATAAAAAAGATTGATAAATTTGAAATTGACAAGATTCTGCAGTTAACAGTTGATAAGCTAGGGGAAAATTTACACATTTAAAACTAAAAATTAACATTCAGACCATACAGATGCTCTATAAAATAGATTAACAACCTAATAGAAGAATGGGCTAAGCATATGACAGAACTTCCCAGAGAAGGATATCAGAATAACCTCCAAGTATCTACAGAGATTTCACTTTGCTAAGAGTTATGCAAATCAAAAATGCCTATTAGATTGATGCAAAAAAAAAAAAATTGGGAACACTGGGTATTGGCAGGGATGGGGAAATGGGTACTATTGTTCTTGGTGGGAGTATAAATTCATACAGCCTTTGAAGAGGCAATTTGGTAGTATTTAAAATACCCACAACCTTTGATCCAGCATTTATATATTTAAGTGTCATAAGGAAATAATTTGTATCGAGGAGTGTGTATAGGATTGTTTTTATCATGAAATTGGCAAAAACCTAAATGTTCCAAAAGGACTTACTTATTAGAGAGTATAGCATTGTGGAACACTATATAGAAGGTAAAAATGGGATAGAACTCTTAATATTTTGAAATATTTTAAGACACACTGAATGAAAAATAGACTGAACAAAACTTAGTTTATTTTTGAAGAAACCTATTTTTTATGAACCAGGGTATATAAATGTATAGAAGAGGTTTGAAGGATACATACTCAAATTTGTAAATGGTTTTCTCTGTGCCAGGTACTAGGATGGGAAAACATAGGGCATTTCAAGGGTTTCTCAAAAGATAACATTGTTTTAAACTTGAAAAAAAGTACAAAAAATACGGGGGAGGGAAGTAAAGGAAATAAATCATCCATGATCCTTTTATCCAGAGGTACCCCCAAAAGTTTTACTCTAGTCTGGCATCTTTTTTGTCCATGTAATGTGGATATTTTCTCCGTGTCACTAAGTGCTCCCTTCTTAGAAAACCATTTTTAGTGTTTGCAAAATTCTCTTTAATGAATATACCATCATGTCATTAATCATTTCTGTGTTATTGGATTGGTTGGTTGCAGCTTTTTTGATTTTACAGATAATGCTATAATCAAGGAATATCATTTGACTAAATTTTTGACTGCATCTTTGGGTTTTTTAGGATAGATTCCTCAGATGATGGGGTCAGAGTTATACACCTTATATTAAGGTCATTGTTAAATTATTTTTAGGAGTTTATGCTAAACGACTTCATCTTCACCTTAGGAAAAAAGCTGTAGGTGAAAGTTGCTGTTTAGCCACAGTGTTGCGAGCTTTGAGTGCTGCTTTTGTGATCTTGCTGGCTTTCTTGTAGATGAACAGCACAGCCAGTACTCCAAGTTGCTGCTGGCCTCAAAGGAGCAGGTGCTGCGCCGGGTAGTTCAGGAAGAGAAAGTAGCACTTGAGCAGCAGCTGGCAGAGGAGAAGCACAGTCCCGAGTCCTGCTTTATTGAGGCAGCCATCCAGGAGCTCAAGGTGAGATGATATACTGGAACCAGGACGGGATGGCGGGCGTAAGTTACCTCGGTCCCATACTTAAGATAATAATAATAGCAGGGGATTGCTAAAACTGATTTGTTCTGGGCTTTGGTGAGGGGAGGGAAGGGCTGACAGTGGGTTTTAAGCATTCTCTGGAGCTGAAAGGAACGTATTGTAATGACTTATAACTTATTGAGACACTGGAGTTTCTTAGGTTAGCTGTGTTCTTAGTTAAACAAAGGTATGTTTTTTGTTTTCTAGGAAAACACTTGGATTTATTTTTAGAGATGTTTTATTGAAGGACATTGTGGAGAAAGTATTATGGCCTATCCAGCAGGCCCTAGCAATATCTGCTGAGGATTTTGGAGCAGCAAGAATGACCCAAATATAGAATTCCCTGTGTCTCATATCCTCTACAACAGGGATTCTTAAGCTTTAACAAGCATCAGAATTACTGGGTGTTGGCTCCACCCTGAGAGATTCATTCAGTAGTTCTGGGCCCAGTAGGCTCAATAATTTGCATATAGCAAGTTCCAGGGTGATTCTGATGCTGCTCATCCCCAGACCACATCTTGAGAATCACCGATCTGTATTAAAACAGTGAAGGGCCTTGTTCATTGAGTGAGTGGCATGTGACAGGCCCTGTGCTAAGGTACTGTTCTTCATTTATTTCCCTTAAGCTTCGTATCCTGGTGTGATAGATATACAGTGTCCCCTTTCGTAGATGAGGAAATGGAATCATGGGTTAGGTAATTTGCTTGAGGACACCTAATTAATATGAAGTGAAGCTGGTATTTGAATTTCTATTTCTCTGACTCCTAAATCCTCCTTGGGCAGGTTCCTGTGTATTTGTTATTTTCTTTCTACAGTGCAGAGCGTTTGTTCAAATGCATTTCAGGTAGAAGAAAAGCTACATAGAAGTAAAAAGCTGTCCAGGTTGAGGTGAAGGTTGGCCAAACCCCTGCCTCCTGCACTGGGGTGCTGCTCTCTCAGCATAGTTTGTAAAAACTAGAAGACTATGTGTTCTTGGATTTATGTAGGAAACTTGTGTGTAGTATTGTCATTGTCAGAGACTCTAAGTGGAATATATTATCCTGTTTGAGTACAGATGCTTTTTGCTTCTGTTTCCTTTAAAGATTGAGGATTTTAAGTACTTAAACTCTTTCCATTGGGTCTTGTTGCCTTTTAACTCCTGTTCCTGTTGAGAGAGGCCATTGTAAGGCTTTGCCCTTCAAACTAAGTTTGTTTCTGGAAACTTAGCTTCCTCTGGTCTTCTCTCTGGTGGTCTAGACTCGGGAAGAGGCCCTGTCAGGATTGGCGGAGAGCAGAGGGGAAGTCACTGGTGTCGTGACTGCTCTGGAACAATTGGTGCTGATGGCTCCCATGGTGAAGGAGTCTGTTTTTCAACCCAAGAAGGTTAGTGTGTCCCTGTTCCAGACTAAATGGCTACTGTTCCTCAAATGCTGCTGTTGAGCTGATGGGCACTGTTGTGAGACCTGAACTTTCTTGGGAGAAGAGGGGACTTAGACTATTTCCTCTGTGCTTATTAGTCCTTTCCCCAGGGGATCAGTAAATGTGACAGCTAAGATAAACATCCAGAGAGCTTGGTTCCCATGCCTACCTTTGCCACATGTACTTTCTGTTGACCTAGAATTTGTCCTAACAGGATGTGCTAGAGTATCTGTCTGCTTTTGATGAAGAAACCACCGAAGTTTGTGCTCTGGGCTCTTCTCGTCCTCTTGGTCTCCCTCTGGTAGAGGAAGAGGAAGCAGTGTCTGAACCGGAGCCTGAGGGGTTGTCAGAGGCCTGTGATGACTTGGAGTTAGCAGGTGACAATCTCGGAGAGGGGACCATTTGTACGGAGTCCAGCCAGCAGGAACCCATCACCAAGTCAGGCTTCACACACCTGAGCAGCTCTCCTTGTTACTACTTTTACCAAGGTGAGGGTCCCTGACGGGGAGGGCTGGGTTGCCACAGGGTTGTTTAGGAGAGATGACCTGACTCTGAGCAGAAGGTCCTGGGCGCTTAGGTCTCTTGTGCCTTTCGGCTTGGGGAGGGAGAGGCAGGCCCAGCTATAAAGAGGGCCATGTCTGGAGGATTGGCCGAGATTGTTATGTGATAGAGGTACTTGTCTTCAGCGGAGGATGGGCAGTACATGTTCCTGCACCCTGTGAATGTGCGCTGCCTCGTGCGGGAGTATGGCAGCCTGGAGCAGAGCCCCGAGAAGATCTCGGCAACGGTGGTGGAGATCGCTGGGTACTCCATGTCTGAGGTAAGGCCTTGCCTTAGAGGTGGAGGGTCGGGGAGCAGCATTAACCTAATATCATTCAGGTGGGCCTGGCCAACCCAAATACACAAACCTTCAAGGCCTTTAATTTTTTGTATCTTAAGGCTATTTTTGTGATGGTGCCTGTGAATTTTTAAAAACTTAAATGGTGCTACCTTGCCATTGCTAGGGTTCTGTTAAGTCAGTCACCACTGCTTTCTGCTTCACAGGTTATTTTCTGTGGTTTGGGAATATAGATGTCTCTTACTTTGAGTCAAGATGAATTAGTTTTTGTTTCTCTTTCTCCTTACTGCTTGGGAGAAATGTCCAAGAAAACAAAAGTCCTTGGAGGCTTTAAGCTAGTTTACACACGCTTGAAATGCATTTTTGGTTTAGCAGATACCTATGAATTATTGCCTGATAATTTACATATATGAATTTTTGCCCTTTGAGAGTTTTCCCTGTATTGAACACAAATTTGTTATAAGCCTCAAATTTAGACTTTTTGAGTACTGTAAACTTTCCATCAAACATGCAGAAAAAGAAAATTAAACTTAAATTGATGCTTCATTTTTTTACTGTTTTAGGCCAAACTTCATTTAATAGGGAAACCTCCTGTATCACTAATGATATGTTATCATTAATTCTGTCAGTGGTTCCCAGATTTTTTAAATTTTTTTTTGTCTTGCATTCTTTTATTTATTGCATATATGCAGATCTGTTTTATGTACAATACTTGGTTCTCACGAGCGCATTCTATTGGTAATCTTCCCCAAAATAGAGTCAGGTAAAGTAGATATTTGTGCACTTCATGGACTACCAAAACTTGAGACTTCATTACTGATTTTGGTTTGAGGCCATCCACACAATTCAGAATATACATAAACTGGGTTAAGGCAATAAAAGTGGGCTGAAAGAAACCACAGGATTCAGAACAATTACACTGTGTATTTTGCTTGCATTAGAGCTATGATGTGAACAGTAAATGTGCGTGTAGCATAGCTCTTTCACTGCAGTGCGAGGGGCTTTGGGCATCTACGGTGACTGCATGGCGGGTGGACAAGCAGCCGATGTGTCCGGCCGGAAGCTTCGTCAAGGGCTTACTTCTCCGCCTCTCCTTTCTTGGGTTCTCGTTTCAGTTTGTAATCAGCCAGGGAAGCCTTGATCGCATCTTCAGCCAGCATGAGTGCAGTTTTACAGGGGGAAGGCAGAGTTCCTTGGCGATATCTGTGTTTTTGATGGTCAAGGCTTCGTCCACCGTCTTCCCTTTCACCCATTCGGTGGCTAAGGAGCTGGAGGCAATCGCAGAACCACAACCAAATGTTTTAAACCTGGCATCCACGATCCTCCCCTTTTCATCCACTTGAATCTGTAATTTCATTACATCACCACACGCTGGAGCCCCCACTAATCCAGTTCCAACATTTTTAGATGTCTTGTCAAGAGACCCCAC